GCAGCTCAGTTCTACTCTTGCCCTTGGGTTCTTGAAAGTCTCACCAGCCAGTCTTGTAAACAGGACTGGTTTCATGGGCATCAGAAGGGCTCCATGCTTGGTTTAATGCTCTGCTATCACCACCTCTAAATTCTTTTTTTTTTTCCTCTTACTGTTATTGTTTATTATTTTTTATTTTTTTATGTCAGGACATATATTCTCCTTGTTATCATAACATTTTAATCACATTACAAATTGATCAGTGTTGTCTTCAGTGAAGAAAACTCTACTGAAGCAAGTTTAAGTGTGCGTGCTTGAACAAGTCCCAAATTTATGTAGGTGTGGCTAGCAGTCCATTTATTTGATTCAATGGCTCAAGTGATGACAGCATTGGTTTGGCACCAGCTCTCCTTGTCAAAGTCTACACACACCAGGTGACCAGAAACTCTTTTCAAGGACTGCAGTAGTTAATTTTATGTGTCAATTTGACTGGATCAGCGGATGCCCAGATATCTGGTTAAGCATTATTTCTCTGTGTCTGTAAGAGTGTTTCTGGCTGAAATTAGCATTTGGATCAGCAGACGGAGGAAAGTAGATGGCCTTCCCCAGTGTGGGTGGGCCTCCTCCAATCTGTTGAGGGCTGGGATAGAACAAAAGGACAGAGGAAGGAGGAATTTGCCCCTTTTTTCTGCCCTATTGCTTGAGCTGGGACATCTCATCTCAGAGAACTGAATTTTAAACTTTAGTTTTCATTAATTTCATTTTAAGTAGTGCTACTGTATTGGACTGAACAGAACCAGCACTTGTGCCCTTCTCCTGTACCTCAACACTTGACTGGATTCAGCAGTGCCTGTGGAGGGGCTGAATCACTCACTGGCTCCCTCTGGTGCGAGGCTCTTGGGCAGAGCCTGACACATAATAGGTGCTCAACAAACAGCAACTGAGTGGTTTCGTGCGTGCTCGAGGCCACTTCTATAGATGAAGAATCTAGACAGGGGGCTGGAAATGGAAGAAGGAAGGCGACTGTCACAGGAATGTCACTTTATCCCATCCTGAGGCAAACACAGGAAAGGACCAGCCTCAGCGGAGGTCGGACAGCCCCTCGGTGACTAACGCTCACAGGAATCCACACCCAGCTGGGTTAGCTGTCCACAGAAAACCTTCCGAGAAGGGCCCAGCCTACAATGAGCTGGGAGACGTGTCAGGGAGGAGATGAAGGCGCCTCTGGTATGTCTCTGAAAAGCAGCCAACAGACCCAGAGCTGTCAACACCATAAACCCAGCTGGGAGCTCAGAGAGCTCAACCTAAACTCACTTGATACATGGTGGAAGGAGTGAGGCCCCAGGCCTGCTGGCCGCTCCAGCCCACTGGGTCAAGGGTTCCCAGAAGCAGCTCTTGCATCTCCAGCCTGGGCCCCTCTTTGGAACAAGCTCTCCTCTTGCCTCCCCCTCGACCAGTGCCTGCCCCCCACCCCCAGGTTAACTCCTGGCTCATTCAGGTCTCTGACTAAATGACCCCTCCTCCGAGAAGCCTTCCTCCACCCACCTTCCTGGGCTGAACTGACCCCTCTGCTGGCCCTGGAGAATCATTAATAATTAGCAAATAAACTGACCCTGCAGCTGTCTACCGTGGCACATCCTGCACAGGGTTGCCATGGTGAGAAACAGCCTGACTGCAAACTCACTCCTGCAGAGTGGGCAGCTCTTGTGATTTGGGGCTCTTTTTTGACAACACTATTTATCTTCTCTGTCCATAGCCTCTTAATCAGTGCAGCTGAAATCTCCCAAGAAGCATCTTCCGGGCTTCCTGCTGCCCATCAGTTTCAGCTGCTCTGGAGGGCAACTCCTTGCCCCTTGGGGCTCCCCCGGGCTCCCCTCTAACTCTGAGGATGATCCACCAAGGTGTTTCCAAATAACACGATAACAGAGACTTAATTTTATTCTCACAGATTTTTACTTCCTTGTCAGAGCCACTTAAAAGGGAACCGGGGGGAGTTTCCTGGTGGCCTAATGGTTAGGATTCCGGGCTTTCACTGCTGTGGCCCAGGTTCAATCCCAGGTCGGGGAACTGAGATCCCACAAGATGTGTGGTGCGCCCAAAAAAAAAAGTGGGGGCGGGAACTGGGGTTAATCCCCGGTGGTGACTGAGGAAGGGCCTGAGTTAGTGGGAGCGGAGGGAGGGTGTGTGTATCTGGGGAGGTCGGCGAAGGTTTCAGGGAAGATGGGGCATTTGACCTGTGACTTTAGAGACAAAGACCTTCCAGGCAGAGGATATAGCCTGCGCATAGGTGTGGAGGCCTGAGAGAGGATGCAGGGCTCGAGGAACTCAAAGTTGTTTGGTATTATAGGAACTCAAGGTATGATGCCGAGCGGGCCCAGGTGGTGTGCTGGAGAGGTGCGCAAAGCTCCTGAGGACCTCAGAGCCAGGGACTTCATCCTGGGGGCAGCAGTGTTCCAGTGTGTATTCCCCAAACACTAGGCCCATGGAACTCTCAGCTCCAGAAGAGGGCTGGGTTTCTGTGTCCCCCACGTGGAGACTCCCTCCGACATATGTGAATTTTGTAAAGGTTTTGCTAAAACTAATAGTAACCACCTATGAGTGTCTGCAAGGCACCAGGCGGGCATCACCAAATCGGACCCACCTCACCACCCTATGAACTAGGTCCTGTTGTATCATTCCTATTTTAGAGAGAGGTTAAGAAATTTTATAGGGGGGTAGAGGTCACACAGCTGGTAAGTGGTAGAGCTAAGATATGAACTTGAGCAGTCTGATTTTGAGCTTCCTGGAGTAAAGAATGGGCTTGACTTTATTTCATCCAACTTTTCCTGACTTGTTTTTAATTATGGAAAAATTTGTGCACATCTAGTAACATTGCAAGACAATTGATTCTGTGGGCAATGGGGAGCTATGAAAGGGTTCTTATCCAGGAGCTTTCTATCTGATTTGCAAATATCCTTAGTATGCTGTTATCAGTCACTTACACTTTGGTGTGAGTTAGTCCTTTCCTAGAGCATCTCAATAGTCTTGGTATCTCCCCAGTACCCAGGAGGGATGACATGAGATGGTGCTATAAGAACATTTGCTTGAGTGAATTTTAACTTCCCCTGTTGAAGACAGTGGGAGCAACGGAAGGAAAGGCCTGGAGCCTGGGACATGGTCATGTCAGAGTGTGAGGGACAGGAGGCAGGCAGGGACAGTTGTGAGGGCACCATGGGATCCAGAGTCTTGGAATTGAAATGCAAGAGCCAAACTCACCTACTTCACGGCTAAAGCCCAGGCCTGAACATTAAGTGCAAATCCAAATATCTATTCAGAATGTTTCCTCTTTTAGACAGCAGCTAACCCACCTGGTCAACCGGAAAATGAGGCATTTGTTGGAGCTGAAGGTGCATCAGTAGATTCTTGCTTTTAAGAGTCAGAGTTGGAGGGAAAAAAATCACCCTCAGAGCCTATATCCATCCCCACACCCACAAAGCTACTGGCAAAGAGCAGGGGATTTGGAAGCTTGGCTCGTTGACCCAAGGGATCCTTAGAAAGCAGCTAGGCTGTTTCTCTCATTCTAAGGAGGGCAGGACTGAGGTCTGGAGAGGGCAAGGTCACAGAGCTGGTTGAGACCAGAATCTGAGGGTCCCTTCCCAGTTCGGGGCTCTGCCCATGGCTTCGGGGCCTGCACTGCAGTCCACTGCCACTTTCTTGGCCCCGTCCCCTTTGTCAGGGGGGGCAGCCTTGTGCACACACCGCCCACCACAGACCCACAGACAGAGCTCCCTGCTGTCATCTGACTGCCCCTAATGAGATTACAGACTCCTGGTGAAATGGACAAGAGTTAATTCCCTCTGGATTTAAAGGGCAGGCCAGGCCACAAGAAATAGCAAAAAACAAAACAAAACAAGCAAACAACCCCACCCAAAACAAACAAAAAAACACCTTTATCTAAAAACGCTAAATATAGATGGTGACCCTAACAGCCATTTCCCTGCTTGGCATGTTGCAGTTCATTCCTGCTTTCACAAATGTTCTCTGGATGGAATGTTGCACCAGCCCTAACAAAGTAGATGCTATTATTATGTCTGCTTGGTTGGGGAAAGAGCACACTGAGGCAGTGTGCTCCTAAATGGCTGCTCCAGGATCACACAACTAGTAAGTGGCAGAGCTGGGACTTAAAAGTAGGTCCCTTGGGCACTGTCGTCTCTAAAAATAATAAGCCCTGAGAACCTACAGCGTTCCCAGTTTTAGGCTTAAAGCAGCCCTGAAGGACATACCTCACAACGGGTAACACAGCCCAAGTTTGAACTCGGGTCCACTGGACTCAAATCCTACATTCCCCACAATATTGAGAAGCACCTTTGAACCCATCCACCTGTACACGTGGTGGGAACCAAACAACGTAGGCCTGATTTCCACTCTGCTACTTGCTAGCTCTGGCCGGAGTCCCATGGCCAAGGGACTCTGGCTCCTGGGGTCTCAATCTCATTTTACTTTCAGTAAAATGAAGGTTGGACCCCTGGGGTTGTTGGGATGATTCCCAATCATTCACACAGGTAATGCAACTGGAACAGGACTCCCACACAACCTGCTCGTTTCCCGACCTCTCTTTGCCTCAGTTTCCTCATCTGTAAAATGATGCTTATAGTACTTACTTCTTGGATTTAGTGCTAGGATTAAATGTGCTAATACAAGTAATGTGTGTCTAGAACAGCACATGGTGTACAATAAATGCTTAATGCTGACGATTGCTAGCATTGCTAGTTATTCATTATTTTGCTAGTTTATTGTTATTTATTATTGCCAGTTATTGCCTTGCCTTCAATGCTTTCTGGAATGAAGTGGAGGTAAAAATCAAACCAACCAAACAAATGTTTCTCTTCTTCCTCCCACCAGTCCCCTGTCCCCTCCCCTTTCTAAAAGGAGCACTTGGCTTTGAGGTCTGATCCCCCAACCACATGGCCTGCTCTAATTTCCCAGGCTCTAATCTGCTCCCGGCTCCTAATGATGCAGCTGGTAATAGGATTGTGGCCTCCCTCTGGGGCAACCACGCGGGCCATGGCCGTGGGGCTGGCAACTAGCGCTTAGCAACCCTGACCACCTGCCGGCTGAGGAGCCAGAGCCCCCAGCCAGGACCCTGTGCCCGGGCTGGCCTCCCGTGCATGGAATGGTGCTGTGCCCTGGGCCAGCAGGCTGGGCTCGCCATGGTGCTGGGTGCCATCCTGGCACGAGGGCGGGATGTGTGCAGGCGGAATGGACTGCTCATCCTGTCTGTGCTCTCTGTCACTGTGGGCTGCCTCCTCGGCTTCTTCCTGAGGACCCGGCACCTCTCACCACAGGTCAGCCATGCGGGGCATCACGGATCCCCATCTCGGAGGGCTGGGTGGGCCTGAGGAATCTGGGGGTCACATTCCCACTCCGTGGCTCCCCGATGGCATGACAGTGGGTCACTTTGCCTCTCTGGGTCCCAGTTTTCTCCTCTGTGAAGTGGGTGTGATAAACGCATTGCAGGACTAGAGTGAGAGAGGAAGTGGCTTCACACCAGCATCTCCAGGTGAAAGAGAGGTAAGGATGCCTTCTTGGAATAACCACAGGCTAAGAGCTGTAGGGGAGGGAAGAATGGGATCCTATAAGCATGCAAAGCAGGCATCAGAGAATACCTCCTAAAGCAGCTCACGGGCAGAGAGCCGGAATGGGCATTCTAGGCAGAGGTAACAGCAGAAGCAAGGCAAAGGGGCATGAGAGGTTTGCGGGGGGCTGGGGGGGGGCAGGTGGAGCAAGCTGTTCACAGCAGCTGGAATGTACGCTGTGAGGCAGGGGCTAGAGCACAGGGGCCATCAGGCCTCTAGATCCCAGCACCGAGCACGGGCTTGGGGCAACCATGAGAAGCTCTGAGCAGTGATATGGTCAGACCTGAGCTTGGAGACATCCCTCTGGTGCTGAGTGGAGGATGGGGTAGTGGCGGGACTGGCAGGGGGCCAGGTGAAGGGTGAGACATGACAGTGGGGATGAGCAGGGCAGATCTGAGAACTGTTTCCCAAAGAGGTAGCTTCAGGATGTGGTGGCTGATTGGATGTGGGGTTGGGGGGACAGGGAGGCAATGCAGGCCCCCAGGGTTCTGGCCTGTGTAACTGCAAGGGTGATGATGCCTTGCCTGGGGAAGGGCCCTCTTCTCACTTAGCGCTCATCTCATGCGGGAGACGGAGGGACACTCATGCTGTCGAAGGCAAAACTTTTCTAACACTGTTAAATGGTAAGGAGGACTTTATTCAGGACTACTGTGATAGGTGTTAAGACCATGGCGACAGGGGAGAGCGATCAGGAGCAACTCAAATACGGCAACTGCAGCTGGGGATTTACAGCCAATGAGCACAGTGAGGTCAGTGACTAGAAAATTACTAAGAGGAGACATCAAGGATAGGGGAGGGGAAGTCTTGCTAAACCCACTAACAAGGTCTTTGTTGAAGGCAGAGTTGGGGGGATTCTCACTAAATTGACTTAGCAGGGTTTACGCTACAAATGGGTGAAGCAGGATGAAGAAAGGATGAGGCTTAGTTGAAAAGAGGGCTCAGAATGGCCGGTCTAAAGTTTGGTCAAGGAGAGTTTTTGTCAGTGGGCTTCTGGAAGATTCCTTATTTCATAATATTCCTCTTCCTGCAGTTCAGTGATATCTAATATGTTCTCTACAACCGGGGCTCAAGGTATCAGATTTCGTCTTCCATTAAAAGGAAAACACGCCTCTCTGGGAATCGAGCCCGCTATTACTATAGTTACACTGTTAAGGTGCTATCAGTTATTTAGGGAGAAGCATAGACTCTGGAGTCAGAGGAACCCTGAACTTGGACTCTACTAGTGAATGGCTGTGTGGTCCTAGGCCAACTCCTGTCTCCTTTCTGGAGCTCAGTTTCGTTATCTGTAAAATGGAAAAGGGTGGGACTGTATGTCTGCTAGAATTGCTGTGAGGAGTGAACAAGGATTCATCAGTGCCTGGATACAGCGGGTGCTTAGTGAGTGTTACTTTACTCCTCCCTCCCTTACCCACCTGTCCAAGTCCTACCAACGTCAAGAACCGCCTCATAGATCCCATATCTTATGAAAATTCTTCCAGACCTACCCACATCTGCCCACTCTCCTCCCACACTCACCCCATGCTCATCCCTCCACTGGAACCCAGCTGCTGGAGGTCTTGCTTCAGAGCTGTTTGTTCAGAGTCTATTTCTCCCATCAGCCTTTGACTTGCTGACTATCACATGGGCTTTCTTGAACCAAAAGTTGAGCCTAGCTCAGTGTCACAGAGAGAACCCTCAACTAATGCCTGAATTAAATTGGCAATGGCACAAACAATTTGCAAGCCACTTTCTTTAATTTTCCTCAGCAACGAAAATATATTTCTTGCAGGAAGATTATTTTGTGAAAACAAATTGGAATGCCTATTCTTAAAAGCCAAACTCATCTGGCGCCTCCTTTGCCAAAGCTGCCTTCCCCATCTGTTTGGAAGCGCTAACAAGTTCTGGTCTGGATTAACCTGCCAGATAAATTGAAGGAAGGATGTGGAGTCTTAGAACAATTACTTGTCAGGAATTGGCTTTGTCAGCATCTTATTTTGAAATCCAGGAGTTGTTTATTTGATCTCTGCCTGTGACTCAGAAACCAAACCCTTCTTATTTTGTAAGCTTATGCAACAAGGCAAAAATCATAAACAATATGCAAAATGGTAGAATGTTCTATTTGTGAAAAGAACTTACAAAATCACAAGATTTATCTTTGGAAATAAGTATCTCATTTAAAAATATAGATCATTTTGAGAGTTCCAGTTAAACCATGATGAATTTATAATTGTACCCATTTTTCTTTCCTTCCTGGGATACCACTAAAACTGTATTAATGGAATTGTTTAAAAATATAAACTCCCAAGAACAAAGACAATACAAACGGAGACAACCGAGAAAAGAAGTCGAGGAATGACAATAATTCCTGGATGGGAAGTGGATAGAGTTGAATGATCTCATTTAGTAGAGCACAGAAAGCTGAAATCTTGGGTCTGTAGAAGCAGAATGATAGCAGATACCACCTGAGTTTGTCTTGGAGAACTCCAGAAGGGCTCTGGACCTGAAAGTGCAAGGCGCTGCAGGAGGCAAGGGTTAAGCATGCAGCTGAAATCAGGGACGTTGGTTAGAATTTTGTAACTGGAGCAGTTTGACCCCTACAGTTCATGTAATCAGGGGACCCCTCATCCACTAACTCTATCCCCCTGCCTGTCCCAAGGAACCAGAGAAGGTTGACTTAGGGATGTTAGGCCCACCTGTAAGCGTTGGGGGAGGGGAGGTGGTGAGGCGCATGCTTCAGGTGAATTAGTGGACATCTGCATCTTGAGCGTGGGGTCCCCACAAGACTGCTGTCAGCTGGGCTTAAGTACAGCCCCATCCCCCCACCTCCCACCCCACACACAGCCAGAGGCAGGAAGGGACTTGTCTCACTGAAGCCTCAGAGGAAAGATCTCCAAATTCTGCTGTGAAGGGGAATTCTCCCCATCTCACCCTGCCCCCAGTGAAAAAGCTACATCTTCACCTGTTAGCCTTCCTTGAGGAGCCATCAGTTGACAAGTCCCACTCATGCACACAGCAGTTTAGTGTGTCACACTTATACACAAGCAGAAGCCGAAGACCAAACGAACAGAACGGTAGGTCTCTAATGAAGCAGAGGCAATGCAGGGAGTAGAAGAAAACTCTTAAAACCTTTCCTCAAGTTCTTTGAAGACATGAGAGAAGGTACAGTGACCATAAAATAGAACAGGGTGCAAAAAGAAGAAATGATTCGAGAACAAGAAAGAACTTTGGGAAATTAAAAATAGATGAGCCAAGATAAAAATATCAATAGCTGGGATAAAGCTGCAGAACTCTCCCAGAAGGTAAAACAAAATGAGCTAAAAATAGAAACATATAAGAAAATTAGAATGTCTAACATTCAAGTTACTAACAAGAGTTTTAAAGAGAGCTAACAGAAAAAAATGGAGAGAAAAATTTCACAGAGAAAACAAGAACATTTCTCTGAAGTAAAAGGTATGCACAGCACTATGAATTTTTTTTTTTTTTTTTGCGGTACGCAGGCCTCTCACTGTTGTGGCCTCTCGCGTTGTGGAGCACAGGCTCCGGACGCGCAGGCTCAACGGCCATGGCTCACGGGCCCAGCCGCTCCGCGGCATGTGGGATCTTCCCGGACCGGGGCACGAACCCGTGTCCCCTGCATCGGCAGGCGGACTCTCAACCACTACGCCACCAGGGAAACCCCAGCACTATGAATTTTTTAAAAAGAAAGGAGAAAATCTCATACCATGGTATGTCTTCATGAAAAGTACAGAAAAACTGGAGATAAATAGGTGATCCTTAAATGGTTCTGAGGGAATAAACTGGGTCTAATGTAAAGAATAGGAAGTAAGGCTCCCAACATCTTAAGCAACACTGGAATCTAGAAGACAAAGAGGAAACACCTTTGAAATTTGGAGAGGAAATTCTTTAAACTAAGAGTCTTATATATAGCCAATCTATTATCAGAGTTAAAGCTAGAATAAAAAATTTTTACTATGTAAGACTCAGAAGTTTCTCTCCCATTCACGCTTACTAGGAAGCTACCAAAGGGGATATTCCAGCAAAACAAAGAAGTAAGCCAAGAAGGCAAGGGATCCAGGAAAGAAGGGTTCCGACATGGGAAAAAGTCCCAGAATGACAGCAAAGAAGAGACCCCTGACAACCACTGGGCCTAGAGAGCAATCTGTCCAACCTGGAACAAGAGGATGGAGAGCTCTTGCACTGAGGTCCCAGGGGCCTAGAAACGGACCTATGTGTTTGAGTATATAGAAAATACTATTGTTAGACATTTAAAAAGCAATGTTAAAACACTTGGAAGAAATTAATGAGTGGCTCACAGAAAACAAGGTAAATGAAAAATCAGTCAATTCTTAACTTCAGGGGAAAACTGAAGGTTGTACAGAAAGGAGGCATGGTTGGCTCAATGGTGAGCAATATTTTGTGATCAAAATATTTTAAACCTTGACAATTAGTTAAACCAAAAATTGATATAATGGTGAAATGGTAGGAGGAAAAAAGGAGTAAGAATTAAGTCCTCATTTGTCATGGCAGGGAAGTTAATAGATGTCAAAAAGATATATCTCGAAATAGCATTATAACCATATTATTTACAAATAACAATACTAAAGGAAAAACAGCTAGAGGAGTTGGGGATGGTCACTCCTGGGAAGTTGGGGTTAAGCATAGAGATGGGTGAGGAACGGCTGCCTTTTTATCATTATAGTGTTATCTAAATTAAAGAAGATACACAGGGATTAAAATTAATTCAAAAGACATAGCCACGATGGGTAAATTTTTAAAAGTTGATTTTCTGGTGTGTTGGAAATGGTAATAGAAGGGGACTAGGAGGCCTGTTTTCCGGTCCTGCACTGTCACTAACTCACTCTGCAGGCAAATCACCTCCCTCTCCTGGCTCAGCTCCCTCAGCTGTAAAATGTGTTGTCAGCTGCACTAGGAGATCTGTAAAACCCCTTCTCAGCACCAACATGCTATAATTTGCGACTTTTCAAAGCATCAGGCCAGTAACCAAGGGTTATGTTTGGCTTTGTGTTTAAAAAAAAAAAAAGTTACAAATACAAAAATTTAAGTCAGATGGTGTTTGCAAGTCCACGTACTGGCCTCACCCAGAAGCTTACCTCTGAGGAAAGTGGACTCAAGCTAGCATTGCCAGAAATAGCAAAATTGAACTAAGTTAAATGTAAAAATTTTAAAAGAGCACATCCAGTTAAATTTGAATTTCGGATAAACAACAAATAATTTTTTTTTTTTGGGGGGGGGGGTTTATTTGCGGTATGCGGGCCTCTCACCGTTATTGTCTCTCCCGCCGCGGAGCACAGGCTCCGGACGCACAGGCCCAGCGGCCATGGCCCACGGGCCCAGCCGCTCCGCGGCACGCGGGATCCCCCCAGACCGGGGCACGAACCTGCGTCCCCTGCATCGGCAGGCGGACTCCCAACCACTGCGCCACCAGGGAAGCCCCAAATAATTTTTAGTGTAAGTAAAGAACCAATATTTGTTGTTTATCCGAAATTCATACTTAACTGGGCTTTGGAGTACCTTCCTCTTGCGCTGTTAGGTGCCAGTCATGTGACCGGTTACTCTGGCGAGAGCTGACTGGGCAAGGGCTTGGCCGGCAGATAGGCTGGAACCAGCAGCCCATGAGGAAGCCCGGCGCAAGAACTCTGCCCAGTAAGGGCTCTTTAATACTGAGAGCGGTGTCTCACAAACCAATCCGATTCTCTCTCTTTCAGCATTTTAAATGTGAGCCCTGCTTCAAGGGTCGGTAAGAATTGACAAAAGTGTGGGGCGAGGGAACCCAGTGCAGAAGGGAAACTGACTCAAAAATGCTGTTTACGAGTCAGTCTTTTCATCAAGTAGACTGACAATTCCTCCAGTGCAGGAACGGTGCCTAATTCACTCTTGGGTGCCCAGTACGATGGCTGCCAAAGTACGGGCTGAATGAATGTGTGAACAGTAGGCAGCCCTGCCCTCTCGCCACTTATCATCTGTTACATGAGACCGATTTGTAGCAAGGCTAGGCAGGTGAATGGCGAAAAGGTGGGGGAGAGCTGTTATCTGCTGTGATTACTGACCATTTACTCTCATCCAGACCTTCTGCCAAGTGCTTCATGTGCATCCTCTCATTTAAGCCTCCCAGTGGCCCTGTGAAGTGGTTATTACCCTCCTGTTACAGATGAGAAAAACTCAGAGAGGCCGAGGAACTTGCTTAAGGCCGCAGCTACTTCTAGGGGGCCAAGGTTAGAATCCAAGTCTGCTTGGCTCCAAAGCCAGTGTTTTCTCCATGGACTCTGCTGTCCATGGGCTAGACAGGAGAATACAGATGAAATGGTGCTTTGAAGATTGTAAAGCAACTGTGAAGTCTGTACTACCTGCTATAACCCCAACTCCTGCTGTGTTTTCAGGAAATCAGTTACTTCCAGTTTCCCGGAGAGCTCTTGATGAGGATGTTGAAGATGCTGATCCTACCGCTGGTGGTCTCCAGGTGAGGGGCGGGTGTTTGGCTGGGAGGTCTGGGGTGGGGTTGCAGGAAGAGGATTCTGTACGGATTCTGTAGGCGCCTCCTCCTGCTGTGGACTGCAGGCTCTGGGTGGTGTGACTCTGGGGGCTTCATGGGGCGTAGACTGTGGCACAGGCGCTGGAGTCTGGGTCATTCAGTGACACCCGTTGTTTCAGTCCCATTCAGTGGACATTTGAGTGACTTGAGTAAGTGATTTGGAGTCCTAGGATGTGACCTGACTCCAGGGTAGCTCTGGGCCAGGGAGTTCACACGCTGTTCCCAGGGAGAGGCTCTTTGTGGTGAATGCAGCAAGACATGGGGGAAAAGATGACCTTGGAGATGATCACGAGATGATATCCTGGCTCAACTCTGTGCTGTACTGGCTGTGGAACCTTGGACAGGTCAGACTTCTCTGAGTCTCCGTTTCCTCATCTGTAAAATGATAATAGTAACACCTACTCCAAAAGGTTGCTGCGAGGACTGTAGGAGGCTATGTATTTGCTAAATGCTCAGGGCTGGTCACAGGGTATGAGGGCAGACAGGCGGGAGATGAAGTTGGAGGATGGGTTCTTGCTCGATCATGAAAGACCTCGAATGCCAGGCTAAAGAATTCAGTCTTGGGGCTTCCCTGGTGGCGCAGTGGTTGGGAGTCCGCCTGCCGATGCAGAGGACACGGGTTCGTGCCCCGGTCTGGGAGGATCCAACGTGCCGCGGAGCGGCTGGGCCCGTGAGCCATGGCCGCTGGGCCTGCGGGTCCGGAGCCTGTGCTCCACCGCGGGAGAGGCCGCGGCAGTGAGAGGCCCACGTACCGCAAAAAAAAAAAAAAAAAAAAGAATTCAGTCTTTACCCACTAGGGTGGGGCCACAGCAAATCCTTGGAGGTCACCTGGTCTCTACCACTGGTGTGCTGTGACCTTGGACAAGCCCCTGGTCCTCTCTAGGTCTCAGATTTTCCAGATGTGTAATGAGTTGGCGGCTCCAGATGGTGTCTAAGAGCCCTTTGCTCTGAGACTGTGGGTTTGGAATCCTCACTTCCCAGGACTTGCGTGCAGGGAGGGAAGTGGACAAGCCTCTGAGTCCTGGGGGACGTACTGGGCTCTGTCCCCTGGGACAGGGTCGTCAGCCTTCTCAGCCTGCCTGCTGAGAACCCTAACCCTTTCCCTCTAGGGTGGTGGGGATAATGTTCCCCCCGCCCGGGAGGCCAGGTAACGGCGCTTTCTGCTGCCCCAGGAGGCCTTGTTAAGCTCAGTTCGGCTTTGTGCAGGCAGCAGTTGGGTCTCTCAGGACTCAGCCTTCAAGGCTCTGCTGAAAGGCCACCTCCCTCCAGAAGCTTTCCCTGACTCCTCAACCCGCTTCTGTGGTTGTCTCCTCTTCATGCATCTTTTGAGTCATTCACTGAGTCAGGGAATCTGTCAAGGTCACTGGTAGGCTCCATATTGCTAGACCCAAAGGACACTCCGAGTTCTTGTTCTGCGTGACCTGTCCACAGCAGTTGATACAGCAGTTGGTCACTCCTTCCCTCTTGAAACACTCCTCCCTATGCCCTTACACTCTCTGGCTTTGTCTGCTCCCTGCCCCCCCGAGCCGAGTTTCTCTCTCTCTACTCAACCTCTGAACGTTGTAGTTTCTCAGGCCTTTTCTCATCTGTCCGCACGGCTTTAACATACCACCTACAAGTCCAGCCCTTCCAAATATAGATCTCCCTCCCCAACCTCCCCTCTGAGTGCCACTCAAACTACCTACCTGACATTGCCACTCGATGTCTCACGAGGATTTCAGCTTAGCGTAACCAACTTGAGATTTTACCCGCAAACCAGTTCCTTCTCCTGTGTTCTGCTTGTCAGTAAGCGGCAGTTCCACCTACCCAGTTATTCAAGCCTCCGTATTTATTCTCTTCCCCCACCCCCAGCTCTTCCAGCAGCGACTCCAGCTGATTCTTCCCCCCAACTACAGCCCAGCATCACCCCTACCACAGGGCAGACTCCACAGTGACCTCACTGGTCTCCTGGCTCTGGTTTTTGTTCCCCTCCCATCTGTTCTCCACCTGGTGGCCAGAGTGATCTTGTGAAAAGCCAAGCGCGCCATGCCATTCATTCACCTAAAACCCTTCAGTGGCTCCCGTGGCATTTAGAATAAACCCCTGCATCCTTAACATAACCTTGGCGGCCCTGCAGGATCCTCCCTGCCTGTGCCCCACCTCATGTCATGCCTCATTCACTCCAGTCCCCAGACCTCTTAGTTTCCTAAGCAGACCAAACCCTTCCTCCGTCTCAGGGTCTCCACACATGCTGTCCCTTCTGCCTGGAGCACGCTTCCTCAATGCTTTACACGTCTTTCCCTTCCTCTTCCTTTAGATCTCAACTTCCATGTCACCTCCTTAGAAAGGCCCTCCCAACCCGTCCCCCTTCACCACCACCTTCGCCCTCCCCCAGCATGCCCATTTCCTTTTCCTGCACAGCACTCATTTTGTACTGTTATTCTATATGGATTCAAGTGTTAACCTGTTTATCTTCCACTGGACTGTAACCTCTGTGAAGGCAGAGACACTACTCTGTTAAGGTTCCACTCTGGCCTTCACACGAAATGCCTGGCTCATCATAGGTGCTTATTAATACTTGCCAAGTGGATTAATGAATTCAGCAATCATGCACTGTGCTTTCTGGTACACGGCCCTGTCCTGGGAGACTGATGAGAAAATAGATAATTACATGACAGCCAAGTAAGCGTGTCGATGCAGGAAGCACAGGACTTTTTTTGTTGTTTCCCTTTTTCCCAGTTGTATTGCAATATTGTTAGGCAGCTTGACCATCCTTTATTGTGTTTTTGTTTATTTATTTATTTATTTTTTGCTGCATTGGGTCTTTGTTGCTGCGCGTGGGCTTTCTCTAATTGCGACGAGTGGGGGCTACTCTTCATTGTGGTGCGTGGGCTTCTCATTGCCGTGGCTTCTCTTGTTGCAGAGCACAGGCTCTAGGTGCGTGGGCTTCAGTAGTTGTGGCTTGCAGGCTCTAGAGCGCAAGGCTTGGTAGTTGTAGTGCACGGGCTTAGTTGCTCCACGGCATGTGGGATCTTCCCGGCCCAGGGCTCAAACCCATGTCCCCTGCATTGGCAGGCGGATTCTTAACCACCGCACCGCCAGGGAAGTCCCAATCGTCCTTTATTGTTGACCTTACTTACTGCCAGGGCATTGCCTCTTACTGAGAACTCAAATGCCTCCAAGGCAGAGGCCCTTGAGTAGACCCTGGAGTCAGACAGACCTGGGTTCCTATCCTGGCCCTGCCATCTCCTTGCTGTGTGACCTTGGGCAAGTTCTTTAACTTAAAATCCTGAAGTCAGAGTCAAAGGCCTGGGTCCCAGACCTGCTTCTCCCCAAATCACGTGATCTTGGGGCAAGCACCCTCACCTTGAGTCTCAGTTTACCCAGGTTACCCAGTGACTTTGGGCCCATCCAGCTCTCTGGGTCCTGGCTCTCAAAGGTTTCGTCTCTCACCACCAGACTCAAGTGCTTTCTCTTGGCTGGAAACGAAATGTGGTATTAACTTGAGAAAAGCCAGTGTGTGCTCATATGTTTCATTTGTTTATTACACAATTTCGGCTGGTTCAAAGCAACCGTGTCACTGAAAAATGGAAGTGCTTTAAAACTTTCCTACTAAGGGAGAATTAAACCTTCTTGGGGGAAAATGACACATTTCTGAGCTCCAAACCGCTCCATCCCTGAGCTCTCATTCCTTTAGCTTCAACTGGTCTATAATCCATCCATCCATCCGTCCATCCGTCCATCCATCCATCCATCCATCCATCCATCGCTCACGGTCACCTGATCTCTTGCTCCTGGCCAGCCCAGGGCGGGGCATCCGTATCCTCAAGGAGCAACCACTCTGGTGTGGCGGTTGTCACTCCAGACAGAGCAGAGTCACCAAAGCTACTCTGGAAATTCAGACGTCAGGTCTCATGCCGGGCCTACTGAACCAGAACTGCCAAAGGGCCCAAACAGGTTTAAAAGCTCCACAAGTGTTCTAAGGGTTTGAAAAGAAACCCTGATGTCTTGGGATCAGGGCTTCTGACTGGATAACTGAAGAGGCTGGCATGAGCACTGCTGCTTTTCGGTCCCCAGGGCCCCCAAGCTGTACCCCCCACCAGGAGACAGAGGTTTCCTGCAGTGTAAATTGCTCCAGGGCAGTGGGAGGATACACATCAAGGCACATTTGCTTCAGTTCCAATAACCTGCAAGCCTGGGTCCCAAAGCCTGGCACCCATGACTCTGGGTGCTCCCACCTCTTCCAGTAGAACCTGCCACCCTTCCCTATGCCAAGCCTCTGGCATCAGGCTGGTCACCTCATTAGCCTCTAAGCGTGCCACATACCACCTCTGTTCATGCTGCTCCCCTCCCATGAACGCCCTTTTCTCTTACTTAGCTAAGTCCCGCTCTGTGTTCAAGACCTAGATCAAGTTTCTTCCGTGAAATCCTCCCAGCTCTTCATTTACTGGTAACTAGTGATGATGACCTGTCTCCATGCCTGATGCTGCTTTTGACCCTGATGGACACAGTGTTGTTAGTTAAATGAACTGACACTCACAGCTGGCACACCACGTTATGGGTACAGACACCACGTTATGGGTACAGACACCAC